TGCATTTTACAACAACCCCCTCCTCCATGAATTATGAAAATATCAAATATGATCAGACTGAACTGGAAATTAACAGCATAAATGAATGCAATTTTATTTTCAATCTAATCCTTTAATCCAAATGTTAAAACCCAAATAGCTACTTTAATATAATATTTAATTACTTGATGTTTTCTTTGGGTGTATATTTGATTTAAACCTGATTTATTTGGATATTAAATGTGATTAATACAGATGAAATGTATATATTTTTAGTTTGGCTTTATCCAGAGGGTAAGCCTGGTTTACCAAAATTTAAATGTACCATTGCATAAGGAAGTAGGTCGTATAGAACCGAGGAATTCACCATTTTTTATCTTTTACCTTTTAGCATTGGTTAAGCAGATAATCCGACCTCTGTTGGCCACCCTCTCGGCTGTGTCCATTAAAGCAGTGCGCTTCTCGTGTTGCAACTCTGTGATCTTGCACAAAGCCTCCACGGCGGCGACCAGGCCATGCAAGATGCTGCAACATTCTGGGTCCTCGCGTGGATTTGGCGGCCCGACAGCTGCCAGAGCTGACATCAGCTGTTATTAGAGGGGGGGGGAAGCTTTATGTAAGAAGGAAACTTTATGGAAGTGAAACAGTTTTTTTTTCTTCAAAACAGCTAAATTAATTGAGTGACAGGCAGCTAGTTACTTCATGAGTGCTCTGATCTTCTCGCCTCCAGGTGTTTAAAATGTGGAACTCTGAATCGCTCACGATATAATTCACCTGTGAATGACAGCAAGACACAAACAAGTTCAATAACTTTTGTTTACTATATTTTAAATATAAGGTTTATCATAATTAGTGTGCATTGTCAGTGCAGAAAACAGACAAATGAGCAAATCAGAATAGATCGAACCAGCTTGTCCTTTGGGTAAACATCAAACAGGATTCTGCAGTACTCCATGGAGCACTCCACAGCACAGGTCCACAGGGACTTGGACACAGGGGCCAGAGGAATAACTTGAGCTCGGCTCTTGGTCAGCACGTCACACTCAACCTGCTGCCGGCTGGACTCTGCCATGTAAGGACAGTGATCCACCACGAAGACGGTCTTATGTGCCACTGAAAACATCTTCATTTTTGCAGATCTGAAGTGAAAAACAACCCAGTGAGATACATTTATAAACGCAGGAAAGGCATTTTTACTTTAGTTTACAGTCACAATAATGGGGATCATTTCAGATTCAAAGCTGTGTCGTTCTGTCCACCGCTTTACATAAAAGACAGAGGTTAGTTATCGCATTCAAATAACACCGGATAATTTAGACTATGGAGCTGGTATGCTTTATGGTGACTGATAGGCTAAATAATTATCTCACCTGATCAAAAAGGTGTCTGGTCTTGAAACGGACGCGTCTATAGATGGTAATAACTTTTGCCCTGAGTGCAACTCGGTCTCAGGACATGTTTATAACTGCTAACAGCAAGCTAATGTCAGCCGATCTGCTAAGCCAACCGCTGCGTTAGCTTGTAAGCTAACATCAGGCGTTTTGATTAATAACGTTCAGTGCAACAGGCTGTTAGTTGCCCATTGTGTCAGCTGTATAGTGCTTAAGTGTGGGTCTTCTGATTAATCCACGGTCTCACAATCCGTTGAGATCTTGTTAAAGCTAAAAAAAAAAAAAAACAACCACAAAACACTTCAAATTAATTCGGTGTGGCTGCTTTGTTGTTAGCGGAAATGGATTCGGCTAGGTCCGTCGCCTTTTTAATTCCCCCTCTCTGTTGACGTCATTGCCCACTTACTTTATGGTTTACCAAACCTGTAATTTTAGAGTTTAAAAAAATAGTTTTTAGCCAGTTTTAACTAATTTAACAGTTTAAAAAAACAAATACACTAAATTAGCTTCGGTATGTATTAGAAAATAAATGATTAACGTCGTAGGAAGAAATGAAGGAGAGAAAGAAGGATGGAAGATTGCAATAAATTTAAATACATTTATAACGTTTCTTTACTGCAGTAATATAACAAACAAAAAATGTAACTTTTAAATTGGTTGCATTTATTGAAGCAGGGTGATATACTTCCAGATGGTTTTAATCCTTTTAACTCAATAAAATTTCAATTCACTTTATTTATATAGCGCCAATTCACAACACATGTCATCTCAAGGCACTTTACAGTTCACCAGACCATACAGTCAAATTGATTCAGAGTTTTCTATCTAAGGAAAACCAGTTGATTGCATCGACTCATTGACACGAATGCAATCCCTCAGACTAAACATGCTTGTAGCAACAGTAGAGAGGAAAAACTCCCTTTTAACAGGAAGAAACCTCCAGCAGAACCAGGCTCAGTGTGAGCGGCCATCTGCCGAGGCCGACTGGGGTTCAAGGAGACAGAAGCAGAGATACAAAAAGCAACTGTTAAAGGCGGCCCCGTACATGGAAACACACAGCCAGGCAGATGAGCTCTGGGCCAACTCCCATGTCAGAGGATAATAGAGCACAGCCGGCCAGTCAAGCACATTCCGCCAGTACGTGTATGGATACATTTTGTGTTCCAGAATGTTAGAATAATTAACAAACACATTTAACCCAATGATTATTTTTAAAATAGAATGTTTTTTATATCATACACAACCATGGGAATACTATCGTCTTGATAATTGATCCACAGACAACCAATGGCTGACATAAAAAACAATCCAAGCATTCTTAAATAAAGGATATAATTGCTGCTCGAAATGTATGGCGGGATAACTGCTCTCTACTTCCCTCTGTTACCCCACTCCCTAACAAGTGATATCCCTTTTTTTCTTTCTTTAAAAGTCAAGTGCTTGTTTTATTTGAAAATGAAAGTGTTGGTAAGAGTGTAGAAGCACAGAATTCAGCCGTATATTTGATTTACGGAGATGTTAATTTGATTTTCCAACAAGACAGTACTACTGACTTCACTGACAAAGAAGCAAGTACCTGTATTGATAACAGGGTAATACTGTGCTTGATTGGCTGGGAAACTCACTTAAAATTCATAGAGAACTGTTAAAATTTTCTTGAGGAAGGTGATGGACCCAACATCACAACCTTATAGCTACTATCAAGGGAACCTGAGATCCCTTTAATATTTGCGATATTAAACACTGATCTTCTCCACAATAAGGGGCCCTGACCACAGTACACAGTACAGGGACATGCTTTCAGTACGTTAATTCTTGTGCAATAAAGTAAAGCTCTTTTAATTTGCTTTGGATGTAATCAAATCATTATTTTTTTTATTTAAATATACCAAAGTTTCTCAAATGTTTTTTGCCTCAAAATCCTATCAAGCATCCTATCAAGTTATATGATGCTTGTGAATCCTTATCTGCCACTCTTTTTCCTTCCACTTAATGTTCCCATTACCACATTTCAGTATTGGGTATTGTGCAAAATTGGATTTGGGGCTCCTTTTCTTCAAATAGCATCAGCACCAGCATTTTCCATAAAGATTTAATGGAATCTATGAGAGACAAACTGATCTTAAAACCAATCACAGATCATCGGTTATTTGTTAAACTGTATTTGTGAACAAACTAGGCCAAGATGCCAAGAAAATATTAAACTCATTGCATAGTAACTATGTTGACAGAATAATCAGTCAATTAAGGTTTTTGTTTGTACTTTTACAAACTATAATTATGAATTCCTTTAAATATGAAAAATATATACATAAATCTATGTTAAAACTATTAAATCATAAGAAGGTTACAGTTAATAGATATAAGCGTCTTCTAATCTTCTACAAATAAGCCAATTTTGGGTTTTTATAGCTTTTAGGGCTGCAACTAACGATTATTCTGTAAATTGATTAATCTGTTATTTATTTTTCCAATTAATCGATTAATAATCAGCTAGCCAATGGTTGCTAAAATATTTTTTTTTACAGAAATTAAATCAGGTGAAACTAAAATGTTTTCACTTGAAGAGTTCTGGATAGAGCATATTGACAAATGAAAAAATGTTTGTTTTTCATATTAAATGCAAAGTTTTTAGATATTTTTTTATATGATTACTGCTCTAACTGGGCTGCTCTATCAGCTAAAGGTAGGTTTTACAGTCTCTATACTCCAGTTAACGATTAATCGATTACTAAATTAGGTGACAATTGTTTAAATAATCAATTAATCAAGATTAATCCTATTAATTATTTCAGCCCTAATAGCTTTTAAACGTACTTTATATCTAGCCATATATTGTTCTATGTTTATATTATTTCACCAATTTCTTTATATTTTATTCTGATACACTTCTACAATTGTAAACAACAGTTGTAAACAGTGGCGGATCTAGACCAAATGTGTTAGGGGGCCAGAGTGCTTTCATGGGGGCACAGAAAAGCATGAAATAAAAAACAGGCAAAGGGATTCAAATATATTAATAGAGCTGCATGAAGTGAAATTTCTGTTCAATTAGGTTTAATTAAAATTCTATTTCTTATGAGGTCAACATACATTCATAATTTAGGAATTTTACATATTTTTGTAATTTTAATTTAGGCGAAAATTACTGTTTTTTATTAAATCTAAATTAGAACTCAAGAAAAAAACGTATAAATTCACCTGTTCAAATTAGAGCAATTTGTTTTTATTATTTAGCAGATGAAAACTGGGGTCCTATCTCAATACCACTGAAGCTATCACCCTATTGTTTTTAAATAATTAGTAAAACAGAACTTGTAAATAAAAAATAAAAAAAAAGAAATAGATCCAAAGAACCTATCAGTAACAATGTCTGTTCCAGTGCATATCATCATTAGAATTTCTTTGAGTATTATGTCTTCAGTTCAGGGGCCATAACAGGACATTATCTACAGGGGCACTGGCCCCCTTTGGGCCCTGTCTAGAACCGCCCATGGGTATAAACAACCATCAATACTTTTTTTATTATTATTTTCAAGTTCAAGTTTATTCCTTCGTAGTTACAGAACAGAGTCTTAATTTATGAGATCTCTAACCTCCTCCTCCTTTCTCCTCCAGCGCCTCCCCTTCTTCAGCCGCCCCACCCTTACGTATGATTTTCATTTTCTCCAGCCTGAACTTGAAAAAAGTTTGTTTTTCTTCCGTTGTTACGCTGATAGTGCGGGAATAAAGCAGGAATGTTCAGGAGGCCGAGTTGCTCGCTACCTTTCCTTAAGTACTAACTGGATAATTCTCCAGCTGTTCCTCCTCACGCGCTCACCATGAACGGCAGCGACATACTGGAGATGGATTCCGCGTCCGACCAGGAGGATTTTGATGATGCCAGGCTGGGAATTATAGAGGGGGAATTTGGTAAGAGCACCACTTTGCATTTCACAATCTTACTTAAATCTTCTCAAACTCATCTAAAGAGCTTCATTTCAGCTTATTTTCTCTTTAAATAGGTTCCACGCGCACTCTATTGTCCCTAATGTTCTATACTGCTGTGAAAACTTTACATATTCAAACTATGCTAAATGCACGCAGGGGAAACAACTGTTCAGCAGTGGGCGTGACGTGAACACATTTCAGGCCTAACATGGCCCTGTTGCATATGCTCTTTATAAAACTTTCCCTTCAAGCAGGCAAAAGTATGGAGTTCCAGAAATGCCAAAATCTAAAAATACTTCTATGTGGAAATACTTCTGCTCACTGCCACATCCTCCTCATGAATTAACATCCTCACTAGACATTTGGGTTTGTATCTATAATTTATTAGGTTAGTATTTATGTTGTGGTTTGTGGTGTATGGGGTTCCAAAAATGACTATTTACAACCTTGATTGCATTGTTTTTTCTTATTTCTATCTACAAATAACATACCCTTGTAGATATGGTATTCCATTCTTTTTTTCCCCCAGCATTTTTATTGTCATTACAATGACACAAGTACAGCGCAATGAAATTCACTCTCTGCATTTAACCCATCCCCTTTTGAGGCTTCTAGGTAGCAGTGTGGGGTTGATTAATGATCTTTGCTCAGAGAAACAGAGTGGCAGTCTGTGGGAGTGGGTTTTGAACTCACAACCGCAGGATTCCAAGCTCTTAGCTCTAACCACTAGGCCACCACTCTGTAAAACATGCCTTTAGCTGATAGAGCAACCCAGTTAGAGCAGTAATCATATACAAAATGTGAAAAAATATATAAACATGTTGCATTTACCATAAAAAACAAAAATGTTTTCATCTGTCAATATCCTCTATCCAGAACTCTTCAAGTGAAAACATTTTAGGATTAAACGCACACCTTCAAAGCTTTGAGGCTGTCGCCTACCACAGTGAGCTATACAAAGAAGTTTGTTTTTGATAAGAAGGACACCTTCAAAATGTTTATAGGCCAATTAACACCTTATATAGGTCTAGGTATAGGAAAATATTACCTTCTAAGTTTTTATACAGATTTTAAAGGTATAGTGGAGGATTTTTGTGATTTTTGAAAGGAACCGCCCTCTCCACTTTAAAAAAAAGCACATGCACAACCCTGTGCTCGCTCCTGAGAGGGAACGCCTATTAAACGTATGCGAGACCATGCGCAAGCCCATTTCATGCACGCTCTGTTTTATAGTTGTTGTTTGCATCGCTTATACAAGCTTATCTTCCAAAAGAAGATTTGTTTTTTCCACTATGTCAGACTCACCACCAGTAAGTGAAAATGGGGACCAGCACGTAGGACGGCCTTAAGCAAAAACTGCTTGCCAAACTTGACAGGGTTTTTTGCATGTTTCCAGTGGTATTCTTGACTGTAATGCTACATATTTCTGTCATGAGCTACAAGAATTCTAGGTTGGAAGGCTTTCTTTTAATCATGACAACATTTAACCATCTCTTTAGAATTTCTATCAAGTTAAAGTAGCTCAGCCTTGCCAAGCATAAAAAATAGTTATTCCAGTTATTATTGATCAATTAAGATAACCTGCTGGTAAATTTGCACTGTTGTTTTAAATCTTAATCAGGTTCTGGTATGAGTTGTTTAACATTTCTGTCCATCTATGCTGTTTTTATGGATAGGCTTTAAATTCAGTTGCAAGCAAGATAAATTATTGTGATATTAGTGAATTCACAAGCTCAAACATCTTGTCTAGAGCCATTAGATGGATTCTCCTCGATATGGAAATGTTTTGGACCAAGAAATGCAGTGACGTGTATGACATCAACCAGAGACAGAAGACAGAGACAAAACAGACATGGTTGCAGTGTTTTTAGGTGGAATAGCCTCTATTTCTTTTTGAAAAATGGGCAGAAAGACGTGATTTGTGCCTTTGTGGATGGGAAGATGCTTGGCAAGAGTTTGATTTGTCAGTTAACTCTGCTTATTGTAAACAAATCAGCACAGCTGCTACTGCTGCTGCGATTGGCTAAAAGCACGACATGGGAGCCAGGTGCCACTTGATTTACACAATCAGCTCAAAGAATTGTACTGAATGTCCCTCCCTTTTGCGAACTAGCTTATGCTAGGTTAAGATTTAAAAACAGTTAAAATTGTTTATACATGTTTATATAAACCTGCACCGACCCAACATCTTCAGGCCAGAGCACGTATTTACAATTTACAACATATTTGCCCTTCCTTATAGCCTGGGTGCCATTCCGAACTTAGTCCCGCCCGCAACATTTGAGGTCGGGAAGTGCGGTCTGGCATTGCTCAATAGTAGCGCGAGTATGCTCGCACAATATCTGGCGGGCCAATCAAATTGTCAGGGTGGGCTTTATACGATGATGGACAGATGATCAACAGTAACTTAATCAACCACGTCACCAAAGCTCGCTTGGGTGACAACAACAATGGCTGCCGCTGGAGAGTTGAGGTGAGTAGATTCTGCTATTAGGTCATTTCTAGAAGATATCGACAGCAAATTAATTTTAAAAGAGGAACAGAGAAACGCGATCAAGGCTCATCTTCTTAATCTAGGTGTGCAACTGCACGCTTTGATTTTTGTTGACAACAACTATGCGTCGCTTAACATACGTCACGCACTCCGTTGCTCTTATTGGTTGTAGGTCTATCCAATTGAGTGCAGAGGCCTTTTTTTTCCTGGTTCGTTCGAAACACGCCCCATAATCACAGCTCTATGGAGCAGCATCAGACTCATATTCTGACTAGAATTGGGTACGACTACGTCAGGCTACCTTCCTTAGCACAGCTTGTCGGAACAGCAATGCTTTGTGGGATGTCATCTACTGGATCTGGCTGCATGATTCCAGAAAAAGGAGGAGATGCATCGCAAGAGATCCCCCCACCTGGCCAAAGCACTGTTTCCTCTTCACTCAGGAGAAGAATTCAGGAAGATTAAATCTAAAACAAATAGACCCAGGAACAATTTCTTTCCCAAACCTATGAATGCAATCACCCCCCTACAGGCAGACACTAAATATCCCTGCTAAAAACCAAATAAAACTTTCATAGTTTTAGCAAGCTGGACAATATAAATACTACATGCCACAATCCATATAAGGATTAATCATGATTATTTGATCATTGAAATGATCGTCAACTAATTTACTACTCGATTAATTACTGATTGGAGTCGGCATGCTTTGGTGGCTCACTTAGCACACATGACCCATTTAAGGAGGCCTTAGTTTTTGAAGCGGGCCGACCAGAGTTCGAATCTGACCTGTGGTCCATGTCTCTCCCTCTCTATCATATCCCCTTTCCTGTCAGCCTACTGTCCAAAAAACACCATTTATACCAAGATTGTCAAAAAATGTGTAAAACTTTTGCATTTAAGATAAAAAAAAACAAAAAACTTTTTGGCTGCCATTTTGTTCTATCCAGAACTCCTCAAGTGGAAAAGTTTTAGCTTCACCTGGTTTACCTTTGGAAATAATCCTCTTTAAGGAACCTTTGGCTATCCGATTATTAACTGAAAAAATTATAATAATAAATAATAATGGTTAGTTACAGCCCTAATATATATATATATATATATATATATATATATATATATATATATATATATATATATATATATATATATATCTATATATATATATATCTATATATATATATATATAATTCTTTTTATATTTTGTTGTCACTAAATATGATAAAAATACTTTTTATTTAAATGATACTATACCGAACACATCATGCAACATTATAATAATATAGCATGATAATAATAACATCACACGTAAAGGTTACAATTATACAATGAGCACGCAAATGCAGAGAATAAACATTTTTAAGCAGAGAGGATTTTGAGTTTCTGTTTCAACAAAGAAAGGATCTAAATATTGCAAAGGGATAAATTAAGGGAGAAATCTCTGGTGCTGAGGCTGGAAAGAGAAACGGTAAAGTGAGTAGAGGAGAGAGATCTGAGGATGTGGGAGGGAGTAGAGATGTGAAGAAGATCAGAAAGGTGAGGGGGAGCGAGGTGGTGGGTAACCTTAAATGCGTACAGTAGAATCTTCAATCATATTCCTGGTTTCTTAGGGAGCGAGTGGATCTGCTGGGGGGATTTGATGAAAGAGGGGGGGGGGGTTGTAGTAATAATGCAATTAGCTGAATTCAGGAAAACTTGGAGTTATTGGGGGATTTTTTTTTAAAGAATAAAGAGGAGAGTGATACAGTACTTAAGGCAGGGGGAGACAAGGAACTGATGCAGTTAGCAGGAACATGGATGCTTCTTCCTTTTTGCAGATATTAACAGTTACACTGATTTTTGATTGCTATGGACTCAAATACCCCTCAACATCGTAATACTACACAGATATAGACATCAGTTGGAATGATCAATGTCCTTTTTTATTTTATTTTCACATACCTGCAGCAGCCAATAAGTTATATATCTGTGTGCAGACAAATCCTATCAGGATATTTAGCTGTACAATTCAAACTTAATTACATTTGTTTTTCTGGCACCAAATATAAAGTCCTATTATTTTGTCTTAATTTTAAACTCTTCTACATTTTACATTTGCTTATTTCTTCTTCTATGGAGAAGCTTGAACTAATTTCATTTGTTGATTTTTTTTCCCAATTTGCCATTTCCATATTTGCAAAATAGTTCGAGTTAGTCATGTTGACTGTCTCTCAAAATAGACGTGGGAATCTTGCCACAGATGTTTTAAAGGATTTCATTCTGTGATTGGAAAATTCTGACGCTGAATTTGTGTTGAACTCTTTTTTTTCGTCTCACTTTAAAACCAGGAAGCTGTGTTTAGGGTGGTGTGCAGTCATGATGTTCTGTAACACGTTTTCACATGTGTAAAACAGATCCACTTTTAAATGGTGCAAAAATGAACATTAAAACTCAGTTTCATTAGAGTTGGGAGTTTTCATGTGAGAATTCTTTAAGTTCTTCATCGCTCATGTTGCCCACCATAACGTGCATCCCTTGTGTGTTCTGTATATTATTATTAGTCATCAGTAATGTGATGCAAAGCGTGTCTGCTCTGAGCATAAACTGAAAACCTTGCTTTCACTAGACCATACTCATTAAATGTTAATGCATGTGTTGATCACATCTAGCTGAAAACCCAGACACTGTAGCTCAGCTGTATGACCCATGTACCTTAATGTAGCTGTTTCTCTCCCTCTCTCTCGCACCCCATTTACTGTCAGCCAACTGTACAAAAATAAAAGAGCCACTAGTGCTGTCAACGCAGCACAAAAAAACAAACAAAAAAAAGCCAAGACTTCCTTCAGAGATATGCTGTTTCATTACGTTTTTCTTGGAAAATGTGTAAGATGGCAGAGAATGGTTCTTGCCAAATGCTCAACAAGATTTTTGAGCTGATTGTAGTCATGGCGATGGCACTGGAGTCTATTACAGCCGTTACACCAATCCCTAATGTCTAATTGAGACGGCTGCTTCCTGTCAGTTTCTAAAACTGACAGATGACATCTTCGTTAGCTTTTCTATTTTTACTGTTTAAACAGTAATCCTGCACTGGAAAAAGGTGAAATCAAAGTAAAATGCCAATTTCCTGTTAAGGTGGGTCCTCTTTGCATTGCGTGCGGATGAGCGTGGTGTTTACTCGACAGGAAGTGAAGTTTGCACTGTGGGTTTTTGCATCAAAGCAAAATGTAACAGGCGACTGCATCTGCTTCAAGTAGAAACTGTATCTTTTCAGATGAGTCTGGGTTAATGGGTTTTTGTAATTCCCGGGAAGGATTTTCACTCCAGCTCTCTCACATGTTGAGAATGATTGTGATATTTCAGACTCCTTGTCTAAACATGTCACGGCATGAAAAACAAAGATGAAACCTGTTTTTCTTAAGGGTTTTTTGTGAAATCCATGTTAAAGCAATGTTCATTTTATCAGAGTTGAATTCTTTTTTGATGACTCACGATTCCACAGTTATGTCCCCTGCTTGTTTCTACGGCTGGTGCTGTAAAAACAACATCTGTCTTTAATTATTGTTCCACTTCACAGACCAAGAAAATATGACTCTCCATATTAGAAGCCTAGTTGTCTTCTTGTTGTCAGCAATTAGTCATAGTGTGAAGCTTTTTCCTCTTTTCCCCTTAGTCTTTGTCCCCAGCAAACAGTTCAGCAAGTGGGAAAATTCATTTTATAAGATTAAAAGGTATGAATGAGGGCAAACTTGAGGACAAAGAAAAGGGAAGTATTTGCAGAACAGAAACACTCCTTTGCTCAGTCCCCTGACTAAACCACAAGCAGAACATAAATGCAAAGAAAGTGACGGAGCAGCTGCATCTAAATACAGTTTGAACAGAACAGGAAACTTAAATATCGAGCACATCATTTAATATTTGGTCTTTTCTCTGACAAAATACTAAAAATTCTGCTTCAATGTGTGGATCTGTAGCTTAATGATCTGAAAGCAAAGGGTCGAATCAACAGCAAATTTGATTTAATTGAAGTTTTTCACATTGTGTTGCTTTAGGGGACAGGGAGGATAGGAAATGGTGCTTTATAGAAGACTACTCAGACAGTTTATGTTAAAACACACTGTAAAGCACCCCCCACTCAGCTAATTAAAGCTACAATTTTCTATTATTTTTTAATTAAGTGACTTCTTCCTGTAGACTTTTAGCTAGCTGCTTATTCTTTATGCTCTATATATGTTGAGCATTACTTGTAAATATTCTTAATAATCTGATTCTGATAATTTGATCTTTATTTTCTGTATCTGTGTCTGTATTGTTCTCTCTCTATCACAGTTTACCCCCAGGAGTTTTTACCCACCTATCAGTCAATCGAAGAAGGATCGGTTGTGAACAAAGTAAATCAGGTGAGTCAATGTAATTGAATATCAGTTAAATTTAATCACTGTACTCTGATTGGAAATATGTTTTCCTTTTTAGAGATTTCTTGTTCTTTTGTGTTTTTTTATTTTTTATTTTGAACGTTCAGGTGGTAAAGTATTGTTGTTATTAGACGGGGATAATCCATGTAAATAAACATAACATTTTAATTAATGTTTTTTAATATTCAAGGGGAAAAAATTTAACTAATCTGGAACTAAATAAGTAGTGTTCTCGTTGAATGATGAATTGCCCGACCAGAAGCTGGAAATATGGTCAAAACTTATATCACAATACATTTCTTAATTTTAGTCGATGACGCCTGTACAGTAGCAGCCATTCAAAATTTCCATACTTTCCCTGATGGGCCCTTGGCTGGTCCCCTACAATTCCTTTTTTAAACATCAATATTTGTACAAAAATATTCCTTCTGTCATGATTTGTGGACATTAAGATCTAAAGAGTAGCGTTATATCCTGGTCAGACCCTGCAATTCAGTGAAAGGATGGAGTCAGAGTAAAATAATATGCAAGAGGGGTTCACTCCAGAGGCTGGAAGTTGGAGTTGATTTCACTGGGAGTTTTAGGGAAGTAGGCTGCCATTCAGCCGGCGTTTGACTGGGAAGGGCTATTTTGAACAGCTGCTACTGTACAAACCTCTGAACGTTATTATCCCAAATCGATGAAACTTCTCCAATATAACATTTCAGAAATTATTGTAAAAATCATTAAAAAATGTAAGTTATATTAAAGTTATAATATATATTAAATTAAAGTAATGTTGGAGGAGTCTGGTAGAAAGAAGTAGGCTTATCTATGTAATGACTCAGAACAGAGGCAAGACAAACAGTGGGATAACTTAAAAAGCATTTAATATAGCAATGATGGATGGTTTGCGGATCTGCAGGAGCAGCGGCTAGGGCGTCCAAGGCAGGTAACTCTGGTGAGAGGAAACACAGATTAGTGACCACAAAAACCTGACAAAGGATGATCTGAATCCGTGAGTCACTGACCTGGTTTAGATCAGAGAACTTACAACATACACTGTTTTCAAAAAGCATCTAAAAAATTGGGTCATAACACATCAGTCATGTCAGCATTAGTTGAATGTCTATCATTAACAAGCCATGCTGCCACTTGTGTCTCTGCTGTGTGTATGTATATATGTGTATGTGTATATATATTTACATGTACATAGTTTAAATATTTTATTCTATTTTATGAACCTCTGTAGTCCAGCGAACACTTATTCTGTATTTTTTAATCAGCTTTGAGGAGTTATAGCTGTTTTTATTTCTTTTTATATTTGTATAAAAAGTTTTATTGTTGTGTTTTATTTAGGTAGACAATTTTAAGATCTGTCCAGGGACAACAGATGAAAAATACCATTTTGGCTAATTCTGGTGCATTTGCACCAGAAAATAAATACAAATAAATAAATTAATTAAAAATATTAAATAAAAAAAAGATTTCAGTCGCTCAGTTGCTCTGAGAATGAGGTTGATGCCAGCTGGTCAGCTGCCAAGAATTAGCGATTACCACACTGAGTGTTTCAGAAGCTGTAGCCTTGAAGGACACAGAACTGACAGGAGATCAGATCCAAGCAGATGACGGAGGAGGGCAGGATAATCCTGAGGGTAAAGTCAAGATGCAGATCCAGGTTCAGAACACAGTAGAATCAGACAAAATCCGAAGACAGGTAGGGCAAACAGATCAGGACTGTGGCAGGCAGGCTTAAGGATTTAAAGACAGAAACGGGTCAGCATCAGGCATCAGAGCACTATTGGTCTAGTCAGAGTCTCGACCTGTTGAGATGCAATGGCATGACCTTAAACATGCAACAAAAAATGAAAACTGATGCAAGAGACACAAGACTACTGTAAAAGAAAAAAACGCTGTAGTCATGAAAAATAGCTCAAGCCAAAATTATCAATAGTAAAATACTAAAAACAACAGAAAGTTTTGCCTCGCCTTGAACACTTATTAAAATCAGATATAAGTCTAGTGGGATTTTGACACAATAGCAGATGCAATAAAGAGAGTGCTGTAAATGCTGTGTTGAGTAGGAAAAGGTAGTTTTAAGATTTTTTTTAAGCAAGAAAGTAACCTTTAGAACATCCAAGAAGTTAATTAATCAGGTTTATGATTAAATATTTAATTATTCTCTAGTTGTTCGAAGTCAGTACCTATTTTTACTGTAAAAATTTATCGTTTGGACTAAATTAGGGGAAAAAAGTGGGTTTTATTTTATAAAAAATTCACTTTTTCCTTTCAAACTTTTATAAGTCTCATTATATTCAGTTATTTAAGTAGCTCTACTGTAAAACAAGTCTCCTTGTGTGGACAGTGGGAAGGAGAGAGGGAGACAAAGGGCGGGTATCCTTTGGTTTGTTGACTCTTCCCCTTTTCCCGTCACGCCATCACAGATGAAATCAGCTCATCAGGGCAGCAGCTGCCTGCAGAATCTATTGTCCATTTTAACTCGCTGTCTCTAACATGTATGATGTTATGGAGGAAGATTCATACGAGTACCATGATGTAGAGTTACCTGATGGGCCATGTTTCTGCCCTCAGGTAGAGTACAACGGCAAACCGGACTCCTTATTCTTCAACGACGGAGTGAGGAGGATTGACTTCATCCTGGTGTATGAAGATGAGGATAGGAAGGACTTTAAGAAGAAGCACACCTTCCAGAGATATAAGGTAGAGTTCTCATTTTTCACACATGCATCGGGTACTATATTTGCTAAAAACTTCTTTTTTCATTACTTTATAAGCTGTAGATTATTCTTTTTTCATATGTTATGATGACCATAGCATTTTTTTTATCCAGTTATATCTGTTCAGACAAAAAAATCTCTATAACTCTAGATTATCAAGCTGTTATTGTTGCATTTCTTAAAAAAAAGCATGAAAGACTTAGAGTAGGAGATGGATTCCATCGTTCAGATGAATTGAGTCCTTTGTTTGCACGTGGAGATAAGTGTCTGCTTTAAATCCTCCCCTGACTGTATGTACATATGATTAACAAAGGCTTTAGAAGGTCAAGTTACTAACAAAAAAGACATTTTGCATTTAATCTTTGCTGATCCAACAAATTCAGACTCAGTTAAATGTTAAATTTTGTCATTTATTTTTAGTTAACTGTAATAAATTAGTGCATTCAGTTGTTTTGGAATTCAAACAAGCAAAAGATAAAAATAGTCCAAATTAGGCACACCCTGGCATGTTTGTAACCTTTGAGTCTTTCCCAACAGGCTTACAGTACAGCTTGTTTTGAAATATTGAACATCCTTAGAATGATTATAAAACACTGCAATAATTAGCTGATTAAAACCATGACATTTAGGCAGAATCCCTATCGGGACTTTGATTAACTGATGTGGTGTTTTTGGCTGTTTTAAGGAATGAGTGGTAACTGAAAACATGCCCTGAAACAGCCTGTTTAATACAGTTTGTTAAGGCACTGAGACTTTGCCTAAGAGGTGGCATGAATGCTTCCTTAACAGCATATCCCCCGCGGCAATTCATCTGTCACAATGTTCGAAAGAAATTCCAGCGGCACTCCCTCTACTCGGTTGCTCCATTATGTTTCTGCTGTAACTCTGGTTCCTGGGGAGTAAATTAAGATGCTTTTAACTCATTTCTGGGATAAATGACATGAATATAAAGGTTTTTATTTAAAGATTAGATTATTTAGATGATTTATTTTGCATGTAGTTTTTTTTTGTTGTTTTTTTTTTTTTTTTTTAGAAAAACAGGAAGAAGAGGGAATTAATTGCCTTTCCTGTTTTTCTTGGAAACAAAAGTATTTCTGGTTATAAATAAGGAAGTGACAACAATGGTGCTGGAGGTGACAACAGAAATATTGTCAGGGACACATCCCACTGGACATATACCTACAATAACTCAATTGTTTTTAATGATCCTTGAAATATATGTAAAAATAACTTTCTAAACAGAAAACTTCAATTTAGTTTTATTAACTCTATACGTAAAAAACCTAAACTCATGTTTTTGTATAAAGACAGCATGAAATGCAAACTCACGCCACACTTTTAGTGTTTTTTTTTCTCTAGCTAATGGTTAGCTGAGGAGTAAATTTGGCTATTTATACCAGAGATGTCCTGATCTGATATTACTATCATATATCTGTCTGATATATGCGAAAAAACTAATATCGGATTTTATTTTCATGGTAATAGAAGTTTCTGTAACTGATCAGTTAATTTTACATACAGTAGGTAAGTTGTTTTCATACCTTTTATTGTTGACTTTTGTTCCATATATTGGTTATATTACTTTATCGAGCCTGTTCTATCATTCCACAGTATAAAATAATTAATAAAAGCTAGTATGATACATCCTAATATCATACCGGGTTAAAATCTTATCGGTATCGGCAAATTCTCAATGCTGCAATATCGGTATTGTTTTGGAAAAGAAAAAGTTGTATCTGGACGCCCCCTAATCTGTGCACAGATGGTCGGCAGCCGGTGAAAAATAGGTGTTGAGCTGATGCCATAATGATAACAGGAAGTCAAGGGTTATTATTTAAGGTTTGTTTATAACAACGTAACTGAATAGTCATTTTCTTCCCCGCAGAGACGACGAGAGTACTTTGAGGCCAGCCTGATGAAGATGGGCCTGGAACTAGAAGCCACACCTTCTGTAAGTAAACCTCAAAAGCTTCTTTTTCTTACATCATGTCCCTCCTACTTGAAACTAGCTTTCATTGCATTCTGCAGGTCCATAATGACAACCTTATATTTGTGAAAGTTCATGTGCCCTGGGATGTGCAGTGCACATACGCCGAAGTCCTGCACATCAAGGTTCCCATCGAGCTCAACAAGATCTCCTCCAAACCGTCGGTTTGGACCATTTTCAACTGTTTCACCAAGTACTTCAAACCTGACGAGAATCTGATAAAAAAAGAAACGGATTACTTTACTGCACCCTTTGAGAAGGACCGTCAGGAATGCTTCCAAATTGTGAACCAGGATCAGTTCTTCACTCCATCCATGAGGAGTAGAATGGCAAGTTGTTGATTGTTAAACACCTTTGGATCTCCCTGCATTTTTAACTACTTGTATTGAGCTTTCGTGATATTTTTTAAATTCTTAAAACCCATCAGACTATTTAGGTTTCTGCAGTTTATTTTCTGGGTGTAGGCATACAAGATAGGAAAACAAAAAAGACTTTTACACCATCTTACCAATGCAAAATGTAGCTTACATAGTTTAAACAGCTGGTTATTCCAGTGCCGGCTGCACTGATGAGGAATTTAATCCTGGATGCTTAGAACCTAAAAGAGGAACTGACAGCTCATAAACGTTTCACCACTTGGAGGCAGTCTTAGAACACTGAAATGTTATTTACATTCAATTGACCTTTAGGTTTAAAGAAAGAAAAGAAAGATAAAAACAGGATGCAGACCTGGTGGCAGGAGTGACATACCTCAAACTGAAATGCTTTAGATCCCAATAGCCAGGCACTATTTTGTGTAGGACTCATCTAAAGAGACAAATCCAGTTGAAGCCAGATTCTACACTGGATAATAAGACATAATAATTGTTGCATTTTCTCTGTAGTATTTAAACAGTTTTCTGGTTTAGGTCAATTAGAATTAGCTAATTGCTTATATCTCCGCAAGACCTAGAAGCTACACCAATGTAGCATCTCTAGACCTCCTACGTTACATTAACACACAGCCTGCTGTGTAGTTAGTGCATAGCTATAAACTATATGTTGTATATGGTATATTGTATGTTTTATATTGTACAAAGCTATAGATTCGGTATTCTATATATATATAATTTTTCTGCACCATCATCACCAAGTCAAATTCCTTGTAAGTGCAAGCCTACCTAGCAGTAAACCTGATTCTGATTCTGATAAATGTCCCAAATAGCTTAGCTTTTTTTAATATTGCAGATAATTCCATTAGTTCCGTCTGTATTTAGTAAAACAACTACGCAACTTGAGGCTTCGCAGTTGAGGTGTAACTTTGCATGCCTCCAAATATTCCAGTGCTCTCCGTCAGTTAGCTGTGTCTTGACGTTTAATGCTACTGCTGGAGCAACAACTTTTTCCCAATCTGAGTTGCCTTTCAAACCAGGAGATGCAAGTTTTGTTGAGTATAGGTTTACAAAGCCTAAACATAATGTAGGTTTCTCTAAATATATATATATATATATATATATATATATATATATATATATATATATATATATATATATATATATATATATACACTTATCGAATTAAAGCAATTTTGTCGATCCAAATAGGAGAACTTAATCCGATTTAAGGTTACCTTTTGCCCTAACCTCTAAATAGCTGATTTCAGCTTCAATTACAAGACTTGATGTTACAAAAAAACCCACAAAGTCTCCTCTGTTTCCGAACATTCAGACATACTACCAAAATAGATCATCTATTAAAGGATTAGTAGTCTGACAGCAGAAACTTCTTTACTTAAAAACCATTATATCTATCTTGACCTTAATGTTGATGGTAGGATTTACCCAGAAAATAAATGTTAATCCTTTTTTTTTCTATTTCAGGCATACTATATCCTGTGCAGAGCTCCCTATGAAGTCAGAGGAAACATTAAAAAGTTTGGCATCACCAAACTGCTGGATTCTGGAGTGTACAAAGCTGCCTATCCGCTACATGACGTATGTGTGTTTGTTAGTGTTCAGCCATACAATGGTTGGTTGTTGTAAAGTACATAATATGTGAAATGTTTTGTTTGCTGTTTTAGTGTAGGTTTAATGTCAGGTCCGAAGAAGAAAGCTGTCCTAATGAGAGGTTCCTGCTCTATAAGGAATGGGCTCATCCCAAGAACTTCTACAAGATACAACCTCTGGACCTCATAAGGTTGGCAAACACTTTTAGAATCAGGTTTTATATGCTGTTATACGCTTACTAACTTCTTATGACATTTACTTTAAGAAGTGTTTCTTTTCACAAACAAATTATATAGTAGGAAAAAAGAAATTTCGAAAAAGAATACCAAAGGTCAGTTAAAGTTTCTGGAGACATACGACACTAATTTGATCCAGTTCAGTAAACAGGTCATTGGAATTCTATAATATTTAAAAATTTGGTACCGTATAGAGTATGTGAGATGTGGCCGCTGCTCACAAGAGAGTGTATGTTGCTTTTCTCATCGGTCATTTTAGCTAGTTTTAAAGGCGGTTACATCTTTTTCAGTGTGGTGTTTCTACTGGCTTGGGACATTTCTTATGAATAGCCAAAAACCAGGAGCAGCTGATTAACGGCTCCAAAGCTGAAATAATATTTTAACTGCATTTGTGCAATTATTAAGGGCTTATACATCTCTAAAGCAATACCTTCTCTCAGCAAATTAGATTCAATCTCAATCTGCTGTACTCAGAATATATGCCCCTTTTTTAGAAGCAATCAGGAAAACTTTGAAAGGATGCTTAGAGGAGGCTGATACAGCCCTCCGTGGTTGTGTTGAGGTAACCGACTGGGATGCACTGTGTCAGCCACATGGAGAAGAAATGAGTGCATTGACTAAAAGACCAAATAAACTACTGTGTAGATAAAACATTCCCAACAGAACAGTGAAATGCTTCTCCAATAGTATAACCCTGGATCACCACTGATCTGAAGATGCTGCTAAAAAAGAAAAGAAGAGCCTTTAGGAAAGGAAACGGGGAATTATTGAGGATTATACAGAAATAACTTTAGGTCAAGTCAAGAGAAAGAAAAGGAGCATAGAGAGAGAGGCTGGAAAACAAACTTCAGATTCCTTTAACCCAAATATTCCCTCTTACAGCTCAACTGTTTCATCTTCCCCCTCTGCCACAGAACCTTCTGTTTATATGTTTTTATTCTTAACAAATAAGAAGATGGCGCTTCTCCCTCCCTATTTCTGTACCTTCAGAATGAGAACCAGAATAAAATTTCTCCAAATTTTTCCAACTGTTTTAGATTTTATTTGATTAGTAAAATGCTTGTCTAGCTGGTTCTAAGGCAGAAAACTGTGTTTATCTCATTGCACTTATTCAAAGCGTATCATTTATTTTTATAGGAGGTATTACGGCGAGAAGATCGGGATTTATTACGCCTGGTTGGGTTTCTACACTATGATGCTGGCTATTGCTGCTGTGGTCGGACTGTGCTGTTTCATTTATGGATACCAGATTCAAGAAACAAGCACATGGAGGTATTTCAAATTAGTATAAGGATGCTTTCTAGATTGTATACTTCTCACAATTGTATTTTAACCAAAAAAATCAGAAAAAAAGTAAAATAAAGTTTATGGCATTTAACAATAGTTAACAATTGAAGTATAACTGGGAATAGTTATTAAAATGCATGGGCAAGGAATTTGTATTGAAGGGATGTAAGATTAAATTAGAGATAAAATATGCAGCAAAGGCCAGAGTATATCTTTAGAAGTTGATTTGTTTGGGGTTTTTTTGTCTGATGTGAACTTATTTCTTTTTCTAATGAAATCTTCTCTGTTTGAAATAATGCAGCAAAGAGGTGTGCAACCCCAACATAGGAGGAAAGCTTGTTATGTGTCCACAGTGTGACCTCTGCAACTACTGGATGTTAAACAGCACCTGCGACACTTCCAAGGTGAACTTCTTAACAATAAATCTATTTAACTGCCCTTTAACCCATGCAGGTCTGTTTGCATTTTACTGTGGGCTTCATTACTAAAAGGTCTACATGTGATTCATGACTAGGGCTTTTACTGACCTGCCCAGGCGTACAATTAAATATGTTTATAAATGCAGCAATAATTAAAAAAAAGTATTGGTCACCCTTACGCCATTAGAGTAATAGTGTTTGAGTTTGGTTTTTGTATTTCTCTTTTCAGACACTTATTATATTTGATAACTTTGGAACCTTGGTGTTTGCTGTTTTCATGTCAGTATGGGGTAAGTTTAGATCAACACTTGCTTTAATTCTGCTAAATTGTTTTATCACCAATTTTCTGTCTATTAAAGGCAATCAACAACAAGCATCAGCTATATTTTGTAATTGTTCCATGTCTGCCCTCCTGACTGTTTTATTTTTCTCTACAGTGACTGTGTTCCTTGAGTTTTGGAAGCGGTACCAGGCAGAGCTGGAGTACGAATGGGACACGGTGGAGTTTCTGGAACAGGAAGAACCGCCTCGCCCTGAATATGAGGCCAAGTGTATTTATGAGAGGACCAATCCTGTCACAGGGGTAGAGATAAATAAAAAAAGAAATCTGATTTTACTGTTATTAATAATAATTATGTTGTACCGTACTAACGTGTGTTTATGTGATGTAGGTGCAAGAAAAGGTGCCTTATACCTTCTGTGGACGATGTTTTCGATTGTCAATAGGAATTGGGACAGTCCTATTCTGGGTAATGTGATTAAATTTATTGTTACTTTATTTTTTACACTTTCATTTTAACATAGAATATAACAGAATAGAATAGAAATAAGTCTTTATTGTTCACCCATATGGAAAACTGTCTTTAGCTGAAAAAATGAAAACAAACTATAGAAAAAAAAAAAAAAAAATCGACAATAAAGTACATGAAGCTAGAGCAGTTCAGTTCAGATTAGGGGATGCTTTACTTTTTCATTTTAAGAGAGTGATGGCGTTTTTGACAAAGGCTCTTTTTAGGGAACCTCTGGTTAGGGGAACCTTGTAGCGCCTCGCAGACCTTTAGAAGCTCAAACTGAAAGGGTGAGACATGTCTGCTACAATTTTCTCAGCCTCCCTCCTTGTCCCATCATTGATGTGGCTCAGAGGCGTCTTGGGTTTCCCTTAAATCTTACCAGACATTTTCACAACTTTAACTTAGTCCATTTCTCAATTCAGAAGAAAGCGAGTACGGACTCGTGTCCTTGTCAAGTATGTTCTTGACAAGAACACAGGAAAGTATGGACTTGGGGAAAACGGGAGCATGTAGCATATATATGGGTCAATTGGAACCGATTTCGCCTCCTGTTATTAATAATCTCTAGATAATGTTAAATTATTACTTTTTTCATTTTATTGGGGGAATAATAATAAACACAAATCAAATGAACATTTTGCCAAATAAAACAGAAAAAGAGTCAACGGTACTTTACACACGGCTATGCCGTCAGAGGGTTGCTGTAGACAGGCTAATGTTAGCCCTGGCTGCGGTTAGACTCGGAGGTCCGCTGTAAGCTGTGGTCCTCTCAACATTAGAACTTTTTTTTTTTATTCATGCTAAATCGGTCAATGGGCCATATGGTGACCGTGCCTGCACCAGCTTATCTTAATTGTCACCGCTGTCATTTAGCAACAGACGTAGGCAACAGCAGGCCGCTGTGTCAACAAAATCCCATGATCCTTTGCGAGAAGAGCTCTCCTCGCAAAGCATTCTGGGATATATGTGCTCTTATAGTGACCATGGATGATCACTACTTTTCAAGGTGCATTGTGGTAAAGTTCGTGTCAAATGCTTTTCCGTCTTTTGACGTTCGGACATCTAAAATGGGGGTGATCACTATATAGTGCCCTAAATAGTAATTAGGGTGGACATTCGGACACAATCTGAGTATGGGCATTTCTTAAAGATAAAATCTGTGTTAGAGAAGCTGAGGTGACTGTTAAGGACTCTCCAACAGATATTAAAAAGACTTTAGAGTTTATATGAGCTGGGTGTCAAAATATACTGGGCCTATTGTCAGTTCATGTTTTGTGTAAGCAACAAGCTCCTTTGTTAAAGGCACAAATTGATTTCTAGCTGCTATTAAGACCTTTCATGAGCTTTAAGACGGGTAGAGTAGGAGGCCTCACCAGAGAAAACAGTTTTCTGAAGCATCCTATCTAAAAACATGTCATCTGCCTATTTAATCCACATTATCTGTAGTGTTAACACAAAGAATTTAAACTAGTTTTACTTTTCTATTTAGGCACATTACAACAACAAAGATAATTTTATGCATTGAAGGCCATTTTGGACCTTTAGTTGCAAAACGTTTAAGCTCAGACAATGAAGAGCATCTGTGCGTTTCAGTTTATCCAGATCCAGATGGTTTTTATTGGATCATTTTAAAACATAAACAACCTATATAAGAGCTTTAGATTTTACCATTAGTAAACTACTCTTTTTGCAGTTTATAATAGAATTTCCTCCAGTTTTGCCCATTTTAAATCATACCTTAAATAGCTGGTTAAGATTTTCAGTCATCCAGGTCACAGTCATTCCAAAAAAGTAAAAAAAAAAAAAAAAAAAAAAATCCACTGGAATTTCCAGGTTGGAAGACATTTCGCTTCTCATCCAGGAAGCTTTTTCAATTCAAAATGTATCGCTACCGTGATACCACGTGACCGCTTCGGTAAGTGGTTCGGGAAGCGCAAGAATTTTGACAGGCATTTTAACAGCCTCAGTGTTCAGTCAAGATGTGGGCGTTTGGAGGAGAGCTGCTGTCAGCTGGAAAAAGTTTGGATAGATTCTAAGAATAAATTGGTTGTTTTTCCAACAAATCTAGTTGCTTAAAGCTAATTTGGTTTGAATAAACAATGTAATGATCAAAATTTAAGCAAACCAGACAAAGCCAGTGTTAACACGTCAGTGTTGTATTTTCTCCCAACTATCTACATGAGTGGCGTCTTCTGTAAGGGACAGCCTCTCACGCTGGAGGTTGATGGTTCAAGACCCGTCTCTGTCTTTTGAAAGTTGCGATTAAACTTAATTATTGTGGCTGATGAGACTAATTTGCATTGTTTTGCCCGAGTAAAAATATAGATTGGGAAAATTAGGTCGGTTTAGTCAAAAGATTGGTTTAACACAACTTCCAACCTGATTAAAACCAAAAAACATGGAAAAACTATCATGTTTGAATAAAAATGACTAACACCTTTCATTTTGTTCATCATTGCCCAATTTGCACAAACACTTTCACTGTCTGCTTGAGTTTATTTCACTAAAATGGCAGAAAAACTGTGCACCTTAAATGATTGTTTTAATAAATTTTACACAAAAAAAAAAAAAAACACAAAAGATTTTATCATACACACCAACCATTAACAATTTGAAGGGAACTTAAAAGGGGAAAAAAAAAAAAAAAAAATTGCAAAAAAAATAAATAAATCAGATTTTATTACAAACTGTAGTTCTGCTGTCCACCAGTAGGTGGTGCACATGTTCACTTGAAGCCTCATGAACTGTGGGGATCGTTGAAGCAATTTGGCCAAACGGTTCAATGCCTCATGAGGCTTCATCTCACCATCACTACCAATTTGTTCTGTCAAAATACAGAAGGATTTCAGTATATTAGGACTCAAAAAGCAGAAAAAGAAAGACACTTAGGTGTAAATAACCAAGATGTTTTATTCACGTTTTACTATGAGCAGAATAAAAAAAAACTTACTACAGAGAAAAAGCTGCCTCTGTCACGTCTTGGTTGACGTTTGGAGGACCCAAATGCAGAGGCAGACAGGCTGAGGTGAATACTTGTAGTTTTAATGAAAAAAATGGTTAACAAAGGCAGTCCAAAAATCCAACTAAAATGTAACAGACCAGAACCATGGAGACATCAAGGGAAAACACGTAGAAGGAGCCAGGGAGACGATTGCAGCGATGACAGGACCAGCAACAACAGAGGAACCAATAAAGAGTGAGAGCAGAGGGAGAGCATAAATAGCTGACAGAGACAAAGGGAGGGCTAACGAGCTGACAAGGAGCAGATGTGAGGAGACAACGAGGGAGCCAAGGGAAAAGGAACACGCACACACACAAGAGGGCAACAGAGGACAACAGAAAAACATGAGAACTAACATAAATTTAGAAATTACAACAAAATAGGAATTAAACCAATAAAACTAGAAAGCAAGGAGCAAAGTAAAGCACATAACCAAAACAATGACAGCCTCCTCCTTTTTGTACCTTCTACTTTCATCTTTGTATGAATTAAACCAAAGTTGGTCCAAAGAAGAGAACATTAATCTGTTTGCTTTTTGTCCTTCAGATCATGTTGATCCTGGTTTCCATCGTGGCCATCATCGTCTACCGATTGGCTGTTTTCGTCTCCCTGTCAGTCAGTCTTAAAAACGCAGGTGACCTGAAGAATTTAGAGCCAATAAAGGAGTATGTAACGCCGCAGATGGCCACCTCTGTCACAGCTGGCATCCTCAGCTTCGTTGTGATAATGGTCCTCAATATCCTCTACGAGCGGGTCGCTATCTGGATCACAGACTTTGGTGAGTTCTTGGACTTTTCTCTTTATTTTCAATTGGTGGAACACATTTTAAATGTAACGTGTAATGTAATGGCAGAGCTTCCTCGGACAAGAACGGACTACGAGAACAGCTTGACGCTGAAGATGTTCCTCTTTCAGTTCGTTAACTATTACTCCTCGTGCTTCTACATTGCTTTCATAAAAGGGAAGATAGTCGGCTACCCAGGAGAACCTGTTAAGCTCCTGGGACGATTCCGGAATGAGGAGGTAATATTCATCATTTTCACTTCTGACCTTTCCAAAGAGAAAAAAAAAAAAAAAGCAAATATTTCAAGCAGTTCACACTGAAATTAATTTCTTCGTCATCTTAACACAGTTGGCTGGTTAGTTTGTTCAATAGATATCAGAATAAGAGAGGCTCAATATGAACATACACCATAACTCCTAGATTATTATTATTAAAAAAAATAAATGTAGTAACTGTTAGTCTATTTCCTTCCCTTTTTACCATTGGGCTCTACTTTGTGTAGCTCTGTCAGAAAAAAAACAGCAATTAATTCCAGAAGGTTTGTTTTAGTAAAGTGAGAAGATTTGAAACATTTAAATGTTGAACATATCAGGTTAAAGATGTTTCGGTAGTTTTTTTTCTTCTCCAAGTTTGCCTCACTTTTTTTAGTCTTTTCCACCCTGCAGTGTGATCCTGGGGGTTGTCTGATTGAGCTGACCACGCAACTCGCCATCATCATGGGTGGGAAAGCAATCTGGAACAACATCCAAGAGGTCTTGCTACCGTAAGCTGTAGTTAAAAGTTTTCTTAAGAATCTTAAAACATTCAATACAATCCGTCTCCCTGTGTGTCTGTAAAAGAAACGCAGTAACGTTTTTCCTACTTCAACCTCCATAGGTGGGTTAAGAACCTAATCTCTCGCCATTTTACCCGTCCGACCTCAGAGAATGTGGACCCACCTCGCTGGGAGCAAGACTTTCAGCTTCAGCCCGTTTCAAAACTTGGTCTCTTTTACGAATATCTCGAAATGGGTAAGAAGCGTAAAGTGTTGGCTCGCTGTGGTGTGAACATGGAGCCCGCCCAGCCTGATCTAGGTAGTGTCTGTTGTTCCTTACAGTGATCCAGTTTGGCTTTGTCACCCTCTTCGTGGCATCATTTCCTCTTGCTCCGGTTCTGGCTCTGTTGAACAATCTGTTTGAGATCCGCGTCGACGCTTGGAAAATGACGACTCAGTTTCGACGCAATGTGCCTGAGAAAGCCCAGGACATAGGAGCTTGGCAGCCCATTCTTCAAGGCGTCACCATATTGGCAGTAGCAACAAATGTAAGCTGGATTATGATTTCTTTTTGATGGTGTAATTTTTCAATTATTTTGCAGCATAAATACATTTATGTCTAATCAGATTAATTGCTTGAACAAAGAAGTATTTCAAATTTTACTCAGACTTCCTACTTTCATTGAACTCACCTGTTTCTCCGGTATCTCTACAGGCCATGATCATCGCTTTTACATCCGACATGATTCCCAGGCTGGTCTACTACTGGTCATTTTCACTGTATGAGGGTCATACTAACCACAGCATGCAGGGCTACATCAATAGCTCCCTTTCTTTTTTCAACACCAGCGATTTCGATGATACTAAAATTAACGCTCAAGTGGATCGCAATCCCAACATCACCATTTGCAGGTACAAATCTGGGGTGGGGTGTGTTTCTACAGTGCTCCCCACAATCATTGAGTCATCTGGGAAAAAAAAAAATTTAAATAACAATTTTTTTAACCCCTAACAATCCCTGGAAAATATAAATGTGTTAGCTTATTTTTTACCTTTTTTAAGTTAATCACAGTTAATTTGGTATTTTGCTACCGTGCTGTTTCGCTAGCATATACAGATGCAAACTTCAGCACCCTCCATAATGTTCTCAATCCATAATGTTTTTATATTATGTCGGCCCACCCTTAACAGTTATTCCAACTTTTGTTTTGGAAACTTTCCACAATTCTAGGAAGTGTGTTTATGGGAGTTTGAAAGTGTTGTTCCCGCAGTACATTTGTGGGATCAGACACTAATGTTGGACAGGAAGGCCTGGCTTTGCGGTTTTTGACTTCAGTATCCCAATGGATTTGGACCTTTTCCTTTGTTGTGGGGCACAAGTTTGTTGGAAAAAGGAAAGAGGCCTTTTGAAAGATGTTTTTGCCCAAAATTAAATCGCTAAAAATGTCGTACCATGCACTATTAAAGGTTTTGTTTAACTCCTGAAAAACAACCCCATATGACAATCCCCTATATATCCAACATTTGTCTATTCATTGGCAACAACTGTTTTACTGACAATTAAGAAGACTGCCTATTTAGATAATATGCCTAAAAGAATGAAAAGAACATCCTCCACAATACCTTTAAGAAAATTATGAAGATTAATTACACACAAAGGAATGTTTTTTAAGTCTTCAGTTTTGTTCATGATTTTTCTACTTATAATCCATTCCTATACAAAACCTAAGGGGTGAACAGAAGAGACAAAGAAATAAGACACCAACTTGGATCCTGAAAAATCTAGCAAAATATGCAAAAAACTGGTTTTAAAACTTGAGGAAATATATTTTATATATCATTTTATGTGTTTATTAAGTGATTTTCCTTAGCCAAAAAGGGGTTAAAATAATAAATGGAATAAATTAACTACATCATGAGCAATTCTGTCTTTCTTTATTTCGGTGAAGACAGAATCAAATTCTTAACTGATGTCCAAAACCATCTGTTTCAGTCTCAATGGTCAATTGAAATGTTTTCCCTTCTCCAGGTATCGAGACTTCCGGTTTCCTCCTGGACACCCCAGACAATATGAGCACAACATGTCCTACTGGCATGTGATCGCTGCCAAAATGGCTTTTATAATTGTCGTAGAGGTAAGAAGGAAATCCTACTCCTTTATAAAGAATATATTTAGCTCTTAAGTGGAATATCATGGGTAACAGTACTTACTCTCTATGTCCTCTTTGTAGCACATTGTTTACCTCACCAAGTTCATCCTCTCCTACGTGATTCCAGACGTCCCGTACACCATCAAAGAACGGATCAAAAGAGAGAAATACTTGACTCAAGTGATCCTTCACGAGACCAACCTAAAGCTGGTGACTAAGCGTTTGAAACCAATTTCAGAAGGGATTTCAAGTCACTTAGATATAAGTAATAAGAAAGAACTGGAACTGTCAGAATATGGACAGATGTAAGCTACAGAGAACACTTTGGTTTATACAACACATCAGTTTTTTTTTGTTTTTTTTTTGTTTTGTTTATTTGCTCTCCCCCCCAAGATCTTGTTAAACATTCCTGTGAAAACACTTATGATCTGAAACTCTTTCATATGGAAAAATGTTTGTTTTTAAAGGCTAAAACAAGATCAACTTTTACCTCCACCTCTAACCACTAGGTTTGGTTTCTTTTGTTTGTGTGTCACTATATAATTATAATGCTCCAAACTGCTGGTAAAGATGTGTGACAAATAAGCTTTATTAGACTTTTTTTTCTTAAAAAGATGGTTTTACACTATCCTGTGCCTTCAACTGACTGTTAGTTTGTTTGTGCTGTATCAAATAATAATGTTACATTTGGAGCTTTAAAAAAACAAGCTTTTGCCAAACCCTGTCATAAAATATCAGTATTGCCTTGGAAAAAAAATGCAAAGGTTGTTTCGTTTCTTGTCATATTTTATACTTGATAAGTATAGGGTTGTGCACCACAAACTTGTGAACAACCAAGTGTTAAGGTGGTATTTTTTAAGCTGTTTTACCGTAATGGATATCATAACTGATTTCTGGGGATTATATGTGTGTAAATGTACACACATTTTTTAATTGACATGTCAGTTGTTTGTAGACTATTGTATGTTTATGTGAATTTAACCCAACTCTCTGTCTGTTGACATATTTTTATATACTGCACGCTTTCTACAAGCAAAAACTGTCTTGCTAACCACTAACTGCCTTTCAGATTATTCTTTGGATAATGCACTCAATTTATTTTTTTATAAATCTTTAAAAACCAAAGTTGTGTTATTACTGGTGTTAATCAATGGTACTAGAACCATCATGTATGCAAACAGTATCATTCCTCTCTTAGTTGTTATCAAATAATTTCTTTAAATAAACAAACCACATGATCAATTCTCTGAGGTTCTTTTTTGCTGCTCTACCTGTATCTCTTGGATACAAGAAAAGATCCTTCTAGTGCCTTTGTCAACTGCAAGCATTTGCGTACAAAGTGAATACTGATTTTTTTGTTTTTTTTCTGTGTTGCTTTAATCCTACGAAAAACATTATATATAGACACAGGAATATAATATGGCACTATCAGAATGCTGCCACATCAGTAATGTTGATAATTACATCTGGGCAATATCTGTGTGTCAATTTCTTAAATAAAAAAGTATTTTTTCCATAGCTTTTATCAAATATATGTATTAATTTCTTTTATTAAAAAAAATTGAAACCTATGACTTACAAAGGAAGAATTTAAGGGCCCTTGACTGGGGGGGGGGGGGGGGGGGGGGGGGGGCAAAAGAAGAAGAAAAGATATGTCTCGCTATATATATTTTAGATAAAAAGAAAATCCAGCAGTAAATTAAATTATCTTTGTGTTCTCCCTCATTTTTCAGCTCTAAACAGCGATAAAAAAGCATGAATATATCGATCCCCCCGAAAGCCAAAACCTATTTTCTTTTCATGTGTACATAGATCCAGCTGTGTTTTTTTTGTTTTATATAAGCTGTTATTATTTTGAAAGGTTGATTTTTAATGTGAAGTTTAAAGTTAATGTATATTTGACTTTTTCACGTTATTATAATTTATCTTTGTAGAAATATTACAATAAAAGTTACATTGAAAATGTAAATGATATTCACCAGTGCAACTTTATAGCAGGCAGGTTCCGGCCGGCTGGTTGGCTGCCAAAGCGGCGGGGCGATCGCCACACAGAGAGTCCCAGATTCTGTTGTATCGGAAGTCGGAGGACAGGCAGGAGATCAGAACCATGCAGACAGATGAAGGCAGGATGATCCAGACCGTGAACCCAAAGACGAAGTCGGTGAAGTGGTGGTTTCTCAGAGATCTGGTGAGGCAGCGAAAGAGCATCCAAGTAGGATTCAGGTCACAGTTCCAGGTATCGTACATAGTGGGGCCAACAGGCTCCATGAGGGTGGGCAGAATCAGTGGTCAGGAAATGGTTCCTGTTGTTATACAAGCAGGCAGAGACCTGGTAGGAGTCAGAAGACAGATCAGGCAGGCTCAGTGGTCGAGAGGCAGAACAGGTCAGTAGTGATGGCACATCTCAAGCCAGGCTCCGAGGTGTGTGCCGGATAAAAAGTGGGTGCATCTAATAAAGCCCCGCTTTACATTACATTAATGTTTCCTAAAATTTATTGACCCTCTTATTGAAATTGTCTTAATTTATTAATGTATTCTTTAAACTGTCTAAATTAGCTGACAAAAAAAGCCTTAAATCACACACAAAAATTACTAACACCCAAATACTCATCCACTAGTATTATAGAATTGAGCTGTTTGATCGACAATGACATAGTCTCACACAGGAGAAATAGAATTATTTTTTGTGGGATCTCAATTATCCCCATGATAAGACAATTTAGATTAAAGTTTTCTAGAAAATATGCAATGAATAGACAGCATACAGAACATCTTCTTTGCAACAATCAGTTCATGACATCAACTAAAATCATTGAGAAAGTCAACATATTAGATGTTGATTTTAGTAACTTAAAAGTTAAAAAACTTGTGTGTAACAAAAAAATTTATTTTGACAACATTGCACTCATTTCTGTTTTCTGATTTTGGAAATATGAGGGCTGTCATAGTGTCTGGGCTGCAGCAGATGTCACTGGTTAGCATCAAGTAAAGGTGCTAACCAGTGACACTAGTAAGTAACTGTTTTGCTTAAAGGTTTACCTTTAAAGTATTGGGTTGAAAAGTTTCATGGTTTCATGAGGCTTCATTTGGCCATCACTACAGGTCAGGGTCAGGTAGTCAGAATACAGATACGCTAGAAGAATTCTCACCCATGGCTGGTTTGAAGGCTGGTTAAATAGAAACAAATGCAAGTGAATTAGATGTGTGGTAACGAGAATTTGGCGGAGATAAGCAGGTGTGTGAAATGAGTAATCAGACCAGGCATCTGTGCTGAGATCATGACACATTTCCCCATTGTGTTGACTTTGACAGGTGTTAATTTTGGTTATTTTAATCTAAGAACTTCCTCTTTTCTTCACAGACACTCTCAAACTGCCAGTTGCACACTTAGTTTGCTCATTTAAATGGGCTGAACCACACCTGCTTTAATGTCTGAACTTTCCTATTTTTGTAGATCACCTGTAACACACCTCATTGCATGTGTAATTTATTTATTCATTTGCTTCCATAATTTAGCCCTCATTATTAAAAAATCTTTGATTATCAGTCTGTAACTGATTTGGTCTCAAAAATCCACGTTTCGTACTGATATCCAGTTTCATTTTTCTGCTTAAGAGCCTTGGAGCTCTGAAAACTGGCTCTAATTTCCGCATTGCTTTTGAAAAATAAAGCTTCAGGACTAGGAGAAGAAAGTGGCTAAGAAGTGACAGGTTGCCATGGCAACCATGGGTGTGGCAGTTGAGGGGGGTGGAGTTGGTGGGAGGGATTTGTGGAACAATGGGCTCATGATGTCATTACAGATTAAAGTGATGACATCACACACGGAATGTTTGTACATACCTTCTATATAAAAGACCAGCTGTCTACTTCAAACAGAGACCTTGGCAGACAGTGAACATATGAGTTGCACTGGGTAAGTACACCAAATTGTTTTCATTTTAGGAAATTATCAGTTCTTGGAAATGGCAGGATTTTATAAAGATATGTTATTGCTGTCAAAGAACAGCATTTTGTCCAGCAAAACAAGCAATTACTGCTTTAAAAAATATTTGGGCTGTGGAATGTCAGCAGTCGTTACCCAATGTATAAAGCAAGAAACTGGAGAAACAGTTGCAATAAAAATTGCACATCGCAGCTATAATCCCTATTTGAATATAGAAAAAACTAACTTAATCACACTCAAAGAACTTGGATCAGACAACCAAAGCATAATCAAGTTTTATGAGGATTTTTACTTCAGAGGACATCGATGCCTTGTGTTTGAAATGCTGGAGCTCACCTTAGATGATTTCTTAGAGAAGGTTGTAGGTGGTGGACTTCATTTGAATGATATCCGAGTTATTACTCAACAGTTACTGGTAGCTTTAGATTTTTTACATGGTGTGGGAATGGCACATAGAGATATTAAGCCTGACAACATAATGCTTGTAGACCGCTATTCGCTAAAAGTGAAGTTTATCGATATGGGTTTCGCTGAGAAGAAAGAATATCTGAGAACTTCTCACTGCAGCCCTCTTCCATTCCGGCCTCTAGAGGAATTTTTATTGGGTCCCTTAGATGTAAGTGTGGATGTGTGGAGTCTTGCCTGCACGTTGGCCTTTCTCTACCTTGGAGACACTCTGTTCCCTGGAGAAAATGAAAACGACACATTGTCATCCATATTTAAAATTGTGGGTTGTCCAGATGCAGATTATATCAAAACTTTAGATGAGGTGCAATGGGAAGAATCGAAGCTGTCTATGAAGGTTCAACCAAATATGAAAATAAAGTCTCTGGATGAGTTGCTGGAAATCCGAAAAGCAACACAGGACCCCATTGAAAGGGAGGATATAATATTTTTCATAGAGCTTTTAAAACAAATGCTAAATCCTACACCTTCAAGACGTATTACTGCAGCTGATGCACTTAAACACAGTTTTATCACCATGGAACATCTGTCTGACTATGACAGCAACAACCCTTACGTTTGTGATGCCAATGAGAAGATGAGAACCTATGGATCCAAAACACCGATAGATCCCAGTAGAAAGACGACCGTTAAGGAAGATACTTTAGATGTCAGTTCACCTAAACAAAGCCCCTCTTCTGGAAGCTATCACGGTGTTGGAGAAAGGAGTCAAAATACAGCCCATTTCAGCGGTCAACAAGAAAAAATACCCACCAGAACAAAAGTCCAAGACAAGGAAATACAGACCGCTTTACCCCAAAAAAATGATAAATCACAAGAATCAGCTGATCTCTCTAAACGAAAACCAGGCTTTTTTCAATTCATGAGCAAGAACAAGAAACCAAACTCAAAAGAACCCGTCATAAACAGATCCGAAGAAATCAAAGGCCACGTTGGAGATAACAAAACTTCAACAGGATGTGAAAATATCTCACAGTTTGTTGAGGTTAAAACCCGAAAAAAACATTTGAATAAAATAAGAAAATTCTTCTCCAACATGAACTGTTGTTGGCCAAACAGAAGAGTGAATACTGATAGCTGTACTTCAAACTAAAACTGCGGTAAAGCTAGCCGCCTCTTCGAAACTTTGTGGTTTTTCTTCAACAGAACATATTTTATTTGTTCTGATGAAGAAAAGGGTGGAAAGAAGATAAAACAAGAGAAAAACAGCAAAGCTAAACTAATAAGGATCCATATAGATGCTGTTTATTTTTCCATCTGGAACAATCCATGTGGAATTTGGGTTGGTAATTGAGAGCAGAATAAATAAACAACCTAAATAAAATACTAAATTATGACTAAACCAGTAAAGTAAATAAATATGGGAATAAAATGGCCTTATAAAGGAAAATTATCTATTAAGGTAATTCTTAGCAGCAGAGGACAGAAACGACTGCTAGACTGCTGGATAAAGTTTGAACACCTCAGCCTGACTGTCTGATGTGCGTTTGGGAAAAACCAGCTTTGTTGATGTTTGTTGATGGTTCAGCTTCTTGCACCCCTGGTTTGGTGTTTCTTCACCTCATGAAACTCTTGTTTCTGGTTCTTTGATTTTGCTTCGCCTTGGAAACATCGTTCTTGAAATCGGATGGAAAGCCTATATTCTTCTTCCACACACATCATGTCTGGTGGAAGCAGCAGAGAAGGGAAAAAAAAGTGATCAGAGCTCATCGGAGCTCTTCTGGAAGGAACCAGGAAAAGCTTCAACAAAACAAATCAGAATAAAGGGGCAGAATAATCCCCTCTGATTGGTTAATTAACACATCAGTAGTCCACCTGATGTGTTGAGGACCAG